TACCATGTGCCAGACAATGTGCTAAATGTTTTACAGACATCATCCTTGTAATAGCACTGAAGCTTAATGACATTAAGTAACTTTTCCAAAGTCACACACTGAATTAGCAGTGCAGCTGAGTTCTCAACCAGGCCATATGACTCACTGCTTTACAGTGCCCTCACATACACATGCATGTATACTCTCTTCCTTGAAACCTGACCCTGGGTTCAGCGTACATCACCCTGACGGAGCATGAAATAAAACGTGCTGGGTTGACAAACTATAAGAAATGAGGAAAACGGACACAGTACAAAATGAATAAAAATACAGGACTGTGTACTATACCTGCATGTTGTGCTTTAAGAAATAAGTTGTCTAAGCACTATAACAAAAAGAGGGGCAATCACGTCTGAATAAGAAAGGGATGCTAGCTGGAGGGGGGAAAGAACAGACTTTTTAAAAGACAAACATTATACTGAAATTAAATCTGTCCTTTAACTTAAAAACAATAGGATAAAGTTACCAAGTACCAACAATAGTTTTATAAGGTTGGAGTGGTGTCCATCTCTTGGCTGCAGAGGAGGTAGCTCTCCCTCCCTCACATCAGGAGGTTAGTCATTTAGAAGTGACTGCTCATGGCAGCAGATGTTGGTTCAAGGGCCATTTGGTCGATGGACATAGAACTCTTCTTATATCTGTTGTACCCAAACTGACTTACCAGTAAATGCTTATCAAAAGGGGAGGAAGGAGGAAAGAGGTTAATTTCCAGCCAGGAAGGCCTAAGGGACCATATCCAGATTGGACTAGAGAGAGTTCCTAAGGTAACCAACCTCTTGGGGCTGGAGCTTGACTATAAAATACACCAGGAAGAAATGGTGGCAGTGAATTCTTTTTTTTTTTTTTGTGAGGAAGACCAGCCCTGAGCTACCATGCTAATCCTCCTCTTTTTGCTGAGGAAGACTGGCTCTGAGCTAACATCTATTGCCAATCCTCCTCCTTTTTTTTCCCCAAAGCCCCAGTAGATAGTTGTATGTCATAGTTGCACATCCTTCTAGTTGCTGTATGTGGGACACAGCCTCAGCATGGCCGGAGAAGCGGTGCGTCAGTGCGCACCCGGGATCGAACCCGGGCCGCCAGCAGCGGAGCGCGTGCACTTAACCGCTAAGCCACAGGGCCGGCCCTGGGGTTTCTTCTTTTATCTATATAATTCATGTTGCATGCACACTTCAAAAAATACTCAATCTCTCATATTTTAATCTTTATTCTCTAGCTCTGGAGATTCACTGGATGGAATGCATCCAGCACTTTAAAGTGAATATTAACTATTAATATTGTTATAATATGATCCCAATCCTTCCTCTCCTAAATAGACTACAATTCTTCCCTTCAAAGCAAGACTGAGTTTGAAGAGTGCAATCGAAAAACAGTTACATCTGTATATTGTTATTCCTAGCAAACGAAAGTCTATTTACTATGGGAATGATTCTGACACTCCTTCTAAGATCACCACAACAAAGTCTAACCTGTATATCTAACTCTATTAAAACATTTAAAGCTAAATTTACATAACTAAAATATCTTTTAATTGATAAGATTCATGCATGCAAATATAACAATACACATCAAAGCTTCTTCCACGAAAAGCTAGTTAAAATTTTAGAATTCAAACTGAATGAACTTAAAACCACAAGCTATGCAGTTATAACTCTTGAATGAATCAACTGTTAGAATTCTGCCACACCTATATCAAAAGTCCATTACACGCAACCAAAGTGCCAGGTAAAAACCACCCTACCAATTCCTGACATAACTATAATGTTTCGCTTCTAAAAAACCAAATCAGTACAGTAATCAATATGACAAACTCTTGCTCACTGTTTTAATAAAAACAAAAACCAGTTTGGTTTGGTTCATACCTAAAGAGTTTATAACTATAGGAAATCCAACACACTGGCTCTGAACTAGCTTAGCTGCAGGTTACAGATAAAAGCATTGGTGATTCTGTGCTACTTAAACCTAAGCCTTAATTATTCTGGGAAAAGTCAGAAGTTATCTGAGAAGGTATAAGACTGGTTGAAAACAATGATAAAAGACTGGTTCCCTTGTCCTTCTTTTCCTTTCTATATTCTCTATAAATCTATTTTAGTTACTTTTTCCTAAGGAAGGGTCATTTGAAAGTAAGTCTTGGGGGGCTGTAAAGCACTGGGGAAGTAGGTAGAATAAAGGAGAAAAAAGAAAGACAATAACATGCCCCTAATTTTAGCAAAGCCCATTAGTAATTCAGTACTAATTAAATGTAATAGCCCATTTTCTGAAATAGAAGAAAACAATAGTCATTCCACCTCATAACCTATTATATAACCTATACTTGATTATCTCCTCTTGAGTACCCACTCAATTACTTGGGTAATGTAGAATGTGATACAATGGAAAATAGAAGATTCTCCTCCTTTACCTTTTATCCCATGGATAAGTTATTCAGAAACAAGAAAATATATGTAAAGCTATAAAAGTTTCTGTGAAATATAAGCAAATAGTTGGAAATAACTGCCTTTCTATTTCATACATATGAAGTGATTGTGATTGATTTTTAATCAATTGTTTCATTTGCTGTTCACCTAGGTTCTGAATCATCCAAGCAAATTATCCCTGTCTTGTGAATGGCTTTCCAGCCTCTTCTCAAGAACAGTTCCGACTCCAGGTTCTTCATGTTTTTTTTAACCCATTCTTGAAAAGCTTTTATAACAACTTTACATCATTGCCACTAAGACCAATTCTGTTCTCTAGCTTAAAACCACAAAATACTGAATTGCTTAGGCACTGTGGATTAAGCCAGCTTTAATCACTAAATGACCTAATACGGGATCACCCGACAAGATCTTACTAAATATTAACAGGACTCCTTTTCCACCTCCTTAAATGTACACTTTAAAACTTTAAAACTTGGAACTTTAAAAAGTTCCAAGCTAAAATTCTGAAACACAGATTAGTCTTTACTACTATAAAGGTATAAATTCATCTTTCCATATTATATACTCCAAATGCTTAAAAGTTGGCACCATGTCCTATTTATTTCTTATGTTCTTTTTATCACGGAGGACAGCAGACTGGATTTTTAATAAATTTTAATTAGAGGATCCCAGATTGATTTATCCATTCATTCAAAACCTCTGAGTGACCACTCAGAGGTACGATGAAATACACTGGTGAATAAAACAGACATGGTCCCTCCTCTCAGGGAACTAAAGGAGGATACAGACAATAAATTAAACAAACATATAATTACAATTTGTTAGGTGTAAAGAAGGCATTGAATGGGGTATGGTGGCTAAAAAAAGCTAATTAGGGGACAGGAAAGGTCATTGTTAGGAGGCAACATTAAGCCCAGACTTAAGAGGATAAGCAGCCAGCATCAGAAAGCACATACCAGAGAGCGGAATGAGCTGAAAAGACTTGAAGCAGGCAGAAACGAGCACACCTAAGAACGAAAGCAGCTGGTATGGCTACAGAAGAGCTTGACAAGGCAGTGTAACACATGGAAGAAGGACCACATCATGCAGGTGGCCTTGCTGGCCTGGTCCAGGAGTCTGGATTTTCTTCTGATGCAACAGGAAGCCATTGAGGGGTTTTAAATAGGAGGCTGACATAAACTGATGTATATTTTGGAAAGATCATCATGGCTGCTGTGGAAAAACACTGGAGAGAAGAGTGGTAAAAGAGGACATCGAGAAACCAGTTAGGAAGCTACGGCAACAGTCTAGGCTAGAAATGATGGTGACCTGGCAGCAGAAATGGAGCAGGAGCTGGACAAGAGATATTTTTGTGGAAGAAATGATAAGCTTATTTAGGAGTAGGTATTGGGTCTGAAGGAAGATGACTCCCTGGTCTGTGACTTAGGCAACCAGGTAAATAGTAGTGGCATTTTTTACCGAGATGGAGAAGACAGGGAAGGAACAGGTAGAAGACGGAGAACATCAATCAACAGTTCTGTTTTGGACATTTAAAATTTTAAGACGTCTACTGAGATATCCAAGCAGAAATGTCAAGCAGGTGGTTAGGTAAACAAAACTGGAGACAGGGAATAGGTTAATGCTAGAAAAATAAACTAAGGAATACTCAGCATACAGACACCATGGGAATAGATTACAGCCGATCACCTAGTTTAGTAATTTTCAAATTTGGTGTGCATACTTAGTGAAGATGTAGCTTTGAGCCCCAACCTGCAGAGATTCTGATTCAGTATGCCTGGGGAGAGGCATAGGAATCCGCATTTCTTAGTAAGTCCATGAGTGATTCTAAAGCAGCTGACCCGCATACTACATTTTGAGGAGCACTGACATAGAGATGGAAGAAAAGAAAGTCCAGGGCTGAGAACTGAGAAATTACAAATTTAAACGTTGGGTAAAGGAAGATAAGTGTGCAAAGGATAGTGAATAGGAACAAACAGGGAAAACTGGACAGTGGGTTACTCCGGAATTCAAATAAAAGAAGGGAGTGGTAAACCATGGAATACCGCCGAGAGTAACGTGACCGATGGGTTTAACAATAAAATCACTGGTCATCTTGAGAGCAAGGGGCAGAGACAATCTAGAGCACTTTACTTCAGTAAATGAGAAATGAGGAAATAGGAAATGAGGAAATGAGGAAAATGACAGCAACTCTTTTAAGAAATTTTGGCTCTGAAGGGGAGTAAATAAAAGGTGCAGTAATTAGGAGAGGACAGAATGTACGTAAGAGGAAGTTTACAATCCTTTGATAGTCCATTTTTGACCCAAAAACTGTGATGTCTTACCAAAGTAACTATTTGAATTCTATTTCACAAAATAAAGTTATTTATTAAAAAAAAAAATGCCTTTCAAACTTGAAATATCCCACCTATGAAGACAAAGAATTTTTCAGTATCAATTATATATACCACTTTCCCCCAAAAACACAGGTAGAGAACCAAAATTTCAAGTGTTTCCTGTCTCCACAAAAAGTGATAACAGCTTCACCCTCTAGCTCTTCTTGTTATTTACCCTTGCAAGATCCTCTATTTCAGAACTGAAGTTTGTTTCTCCTTCCATCATTTCTTCCTCTTCTAATGTTCGTTCATCATCAAAATCATGAACCAGCATGTCAGCTGATGGATCAAATTCATGGTCATCTGATGTTGCTGAACCTCCTGGTAAAGAATATTTTAAAAAGTTTGGTAAACCAAATTAAGTGTATCTTATTAATATTAATTTAATGTTTAAGGTATTTGAAGCTGAATATAAGTCAAATAAAAATACCAGGGAAAAGCTATGCACAGCAAGTATTCTTTACTGTTTCAAAAATCCTTGCTCTTACTCATCATCCCCCCGGAAAATCTCTTCTCTAAGGGATTATTTTTGCCCTGTCACACCTCTATATATTGTTACAACTGCAAAACTGGATGTTTATAGCTTTAAAAGAGTGCATACAGCTTTTTAAAAGAGTATTATAATTTTCTAAACATCAAAGTTGAGTTGTAAAGAATAAATGGTCACATCAAATAAGAATGATCTTTTGTGTGGGGGAAAAAAATCACAATTCTTAATCATTTGATTAATATTTAATAGACTCAGTGAGTATTAACCCCTTTGGCCGAGAAGAATATACATAATCATGTGAAATACATAGTCATCTGAATATATAGTTCAGTGAAAATACAGCTGCACTCAAATATTATTCTTCTATCAGCACTTCCATGAAAATATACAGGTAGCTGTTTTTAACTTACTTGATTTAGATCTGAAATAACTCAAACATAGAATATAAAAGCAAAATTTATTAAAATTGCATATAGAACTCTTATGAAAGGCATTAAAAATAATGTAGTAAGTAACTGATGTGTAAGCTAATCTATTTTTAGCTTGGTGGCTGGGGACTATTGCTGTACTCACTAGGTTCAAGTCTTGTAATAGTAGATTGCAAATGCTGGGCATATATATTCTGTAAGCTATCCCCACATTTGGCTATCGCCAAACCTGGACTAAAGTTTGCAAAAGCATTGTTCACTAATAAACCGATGAGTTATTTAACATTAAAAAAATCAACCGGCAATTTCTTTTATCAGTTTCAACTGTTAAAGGTTATATTCACAGATGTACCTACCCTTCCATTTCATTCTAGTAAGAGAACCAATAAGTAAAACAGAGAGATGATAGAGGCTGATTTCCTGAAAATCACACTATTAGGGACAAGGGGGCACCCAAGGCTCAGGATTCTTCTCACCTCGCCTAATTTCTAGGGTAAGAACCATTTTTTGAGTGCTTACTACGTGCCAAATACTGTGCTCAAGTACTTCACATACATCCTCATTTAATCTTCAAACAATCCTATGAAGGACAAAAACAAAAACTTGAGGCTCAGACAGTTTAAGCAGCATGTTTAAACTCAGAGCCAGTAGGTGGCAAGGATGGAATTTGAATCCTGGGTCTGCTAATTTCAACACCTGGGCTTTTACTGCGCTCCACGCCTGCTCTAAGTCACAGCCTCAGAAACAGCAGGTACCCTGCCTTGAAGAATACATAGAGAGAGTCTCTGTTTACTAAGATGAGTGAACTGCAAGCTAGGTCAGGTGGCAAAGCGTTTAGAAGTCAATACTCTTTGAGGAACATAATAAAATATTGATATTAAAAACAAAATAACTAAATTATTTTGTTAAATTAGCAATCAGGTATCATCTTATAGTACAAATGAGTTAAATTATCAGTTTTAAAACGATTTGCAAAATAAAAATATTCAGAAAAATAAATTATCTTAATTTATTCTGGAAATTAAGAAAAGTGTGACATAACTTTAGCAGGGCATCTTAGTACTGGTTGAGGGACTGGACAAAAGGGTTCCACAGGAGCACAGTTTGAGAACCAATAATTAAGTTGTAGCTTTCTTGGCTCAATCATTATCTCTTCTTCCTGAGTTTTCAATGGAAAACGTTTCCAAAACTTTTAGTCACCCAGCAATTTTCTAGAACACTTAGCCAATAATTATGTATTCCTATAGATGGTGCTATACTTTTCTTCTCCCTTGTAGGCAGAATGCTTCTAAAAAAAAACCTCACAGCACCACTTTGTATACTATTATCCTAATCATAATATAATTCCTATTGGATGCAAATACTGTCAAAAATAATTATGCTTAATTCCTTACTACTTATACTCTTTTACCAACTGAAAAAAAAAAAGAAAAATCCAGCTCACAGGAGTACACAGCACCAAATCGTGAGTGTTATAAAACTTACTGGAAGTCCCCCATTTTTTGGTCATTATTTGCAAAGCCAATTATATTTAAAGCCTTGTCACTTCACCCCCCCACTACATGAAATAAAGTGTGGGTGACCCCTTTCTCCCTTCCTTTCCCCACATATACACTGCACTGTTTTCTACAAACTTTCAATTTCAATTTTTCTCTTGCTTTTATCTGACCTCTTTGTTTTATTTGACTTCTTTTTTACCTTGTTCTTTGGGACCAACTAACCATCCTATTCCTTTCTGTTAATTACTAATCCCATCGTTAAGCTATCTCCTAGGGAAAAAAATCCCAAAAATGTAATATTAGGGGGAGGGAGTCTGGTGCTCTATGAAAATAAATATTTTGCTTGAGTTAAGGCAAATATCACTGCTTTGTCCTAAAATTCCATCTTACTGCAAAATTACTAAAATGTACATTACATATTTCCAAAGAGTCATAAGATAATTTCAGTTTATAATATACCATGTGCACTCATTTAATCATTTTATTACCTTCGCCTCCCTAAAATCCCCACCTCTAATGGCTACTGGTCTTACAAGTAAAGCCTTGTACTATGCCTCCACATTGGTTTACACTGGTGGAGTCTAGAGACAAACCACTTAGCCTGTGTCATCTGACTACTATTACTAGCATCAATTCCAAAGTGCAGCTTTGTTACAAAGGACACAGCCTCTTACCAGTGGACCAAATTTTTTTTTACATGAGGCTTCTATTTCTATTTTTTTCCACCAATTTTTGTAACTGCCTACAATTAGTATTACTTATAAGAACAATAAACATTCCCTTGAACAGAAGCCTGATATTAACAAATGCTGTCTACCTCAAAAGATCTTCATTAGCCTAAAAACAAACAAAAAAGCCATTCAATCTATTTGTATAAGCATTCAGCAAGTAGTAAAGCCCATCGAAGACATTTATATTCTTCAAACTCCTCTCTTCTTCCAGTTCAGCCTAGGCTGATTCAAATGCAATGGATACAAAGAAAGCCATTTATTAATGTCATTTTTGGAGTAATTATTTTTATGTACCTATGTATTACCTGATGAATGTCTCAAAAATTCATAGAAAAATATCTAAAACTCAGTCTATTTGCAACATCACAACATTAACAAAAACAACTAGAACCTATTTTTTCAATGAAATGATTTCTGTGTTTGAAAGAAAAAAAAAAAAATACTAGGAACAATTCCATGTCCTAAAAAGAATATGGTAAGCTAATATTTCTGTGAGTTCAGATTACTTCCAACCTCAACCATCCAGAACATATTTATAAACTAGGAAGTAAAAAAAAAAAAAAAATCCTTGAGTTTCAGAAATATCACAAAGCCTAATGTACTTTATTGCCAAGCATACTAGAAAGAGTCAAACATTTCCAGCTGAAATAAATACGAGAAAATCAACTGTCAATTGAGCACACTAGTCATTCAGAAGGGATCTGGAGGTATTCTGGTCCAACTCCTACTTGATACACTGTACTACAGAGCACCACGATTGGTGTTCATGAAAAGGACCCGGAACCATTAAAAAGAGGCTTATATTAAGCATTTTTTTACAAACAAACTTCCTAAAATTTAAGATACAGAAAAGTGATTGCTTCAACAATCTGGAAAATTCAGTAATACGTCATACCTAAATATTCAATATATGTGAGATGTTTTCAAATCAAACATTACTATGCCTCAGAGGGCTCTCTTTCTACTCTTCTCTTGCTATCTCGGGCTGTTCCTTAATCAGCACACTCCAGTGCAGAAGGAAGTTCCTAGACACTGAGGCAGAAAGACTAGTACCAGACTCTTTTCTGACTGTTCTTCAGCTCCACAACTGCTGCCACAAGGGAACGCTGGACCCTGTGGTGCCAGAACCTCTGACTGATCATGAGAAGCCTAAATCCAGATTTTTTATAAAATATTCTAATGTTTTTAAGGTTACTACACTGGCCAAACAAAAAACATTTGTGGCCCAGATTTGGTCCAAAGATCATATGTTTGCAACCTCTAAGTTAGGAAGAAATGAATCTGTACCATATTTGAAGGAGAATACAAAAGTCCAAAGCTATTCAGTCAGAGGATAAAACCTGATCCTATTCAAATCTAAAAATAACTTCTGTAATTTATAATATTAAATATTCATTTGCTGAAATGTTTTGATTACTTTTCCCTCTCTCACTAAATGCACTAACAATTTTTTTCCTCAAATAAAATACTCGGAATTTCCTGTACAAGCAAATATTTCTAAGTAGTTAGTGACTCCTTTTTAAAAAATACACTTCATATATACTTCAAATCAAACAGCAATGAAAAACTGTAAGAAATACACGTGGAAATTCATTAAAAAAAAAACAGAGAGAGAGAACCCACAAATAGTTGTGAGGTTGAATTCACAGCAGCCTCACCTGTACCTTCATGGACAGTCCAATATTTCATCCATTTCTTTTTCCCCAGAGAAAAGGAGCATTCAGAGGAAAAGCAAGTCAGATGATAGTCTAACTCCTCTACCTTTATGCAACTAACAGGACAAATGTTAGTCAAACAGAGACTATAAAAATGATAGAAAATACTTACCTGGACTTGAAGACTCAACAGATGGCTGAGGGGGGGAGAAAAGAAGAAAAATTAGCATCTTTGTGTAATAAATCTTTACAAACATTACAGGAATTATTCAGTGACTAATATGACACCAAAAACTACACTAAGTTTTAATGTCTGAATTGTCTGAGACAAACTAAAACTTCCTGTATACTCCTTTCTCTGACGCTATATTTATTTAAACAGAAAAAAATTCAAAACACTCTGAATCTAGAAACAAAGACAATATGAAATTGATTCAGATTTTAAAGGCAAATATGAGTCTCATAACATGTTTAAGAGAGACCATTTTAGATCTTGGAATTTTCTGAAATATTCTCTCCTATCAATACAAGAAAAACTATGCAGAAGGTTTGCTATCAAGCTGGTTTCTGGCTTAAAATGTGTCTGAGAAGGGAGGCAGAAACAATTTAAGACATTATTTTAAATAAAAATTACATTGTAAGAAAGCAGAAAGAAAAATTAAAATATTACTTAAGGACCAAACAGAACATCAGGTTAACTTTACTAACAAACAACATATTTTTAAATTATCACAGAATTAGCAACCTTTCAAGCTAAAATCTAGAGGTTAAGTTATCTGTTGGAAGATCACAAAGATTCCCACTTATAATACTCCTTCTAATGTACCATTCTACCTCTCATAAATTTAACCACATGCATCTGGAAGATTTAAAGATAAAATTGTTAGTAATTTATTTGAGTAATATCACCACTTGACCATTTGTGGCTGTGTTTTATCTTAATTCAGTTTACTCACAGATAAAGACAAGTCATCTACAAACAAACTCCTAAGACAAATTCAGTAACAAAAACGCAAAAGATGCTTCAAATGACAAACATTATAACTAAAATCTTGCCTGTTCATTCAGAGCTATGTATTTCATGCCTCTCAGAAGTCAGAGAGGCTGGAAGGCCAAAAGCACTAACAAAAAGAAATAGGGATATTCTAGTATTTTTCTTCCTTCTTCTAAGTAATGGGGGAGAGAGGCAAGAAAAACAAAATAGAAATGAGGAAAGTGCCCAATTTTTTAAAAGCTAGACATCTAAGATGAATTCTTATAAGGTATTAAAACTCCATTTTGAAAACTGTCCACACAGTGCTATTGTAGTAAGTATGACATTTTAGATTCCACATGGTGACTTAGGTTCTTTTGAGGCACACTTGTGCAAAGGTCCTATTGTTTTTTCCTTTTAATAAGAGGATGTTTCTTCCCTATAACAGTGTCTTTTTCTAACAAAAGACTGACAGTACTCAGTATTACATATTTTCAAGTGTCACACCACTATCTTTATTTAAAAATCACTCTGCCACAACAGAGTCAAAACAGGGCTACTTTTTAATTCGGTTCCTCTAATGGGAAGCTGGAGAGCAAGGCGAGAGAGAGAGTAATGTAACCATAAAAAGAGTTTCCAGCTTGCTTAACGTCTTTTGGGCAGAGCTACACATTTCCAGCTCACAATGGATTTAACTATCACACAAATTATTACACAGCAAATCAATATTTTAAAACATTAATCTACTTTTATTTCACACAATTATACCTTATTTCCCAAGTTTAAGCATAACTTCTGTCCAAGGCTACAGCAACATTAATGACTATCTTCATCTGGGTCCCAGGTTCACTAACTAGAGTAGCCTTATGAAGTGTTTTTCCCTTTTAGTAAACTTTTGAAACAGGTTTGCACGGCATAAACAAGAAAACCCAGCATTTCTTTCAAATTAGGAGCTTAAAAAGAAATGGTTCTTTGAGCATTCAGTTCTTTTTGAACACTCCAATAATTATTCCATCTAATAGTCTTCTGATAAAAAAAGCTTTCTGATTAAAAATAAGTTATTCTACTGAAGAATAAAAGCTCATTTTCACTGATGTTAGACATGGACAATAATAGAGATACTGAACTGTGAATGGCGTCTGTATACTTTAGTTTGTAAAAGGCCTCAAACAGCACTAAATGCCAATAAATACCATATTGATTGTTGTTTTACTGGTAAATAGTTACCACTTTAAAGTTCTGAAAAAGGCCCCAAATATTTTCCATTCATTAAGATACCTAATGTTTAGAAGATTGATAGCACTTGTAGGTATAGCTGGCATAAAGCAGAACATCCAGTGCTCAAAGATAGCATTAATGATCATGTTACGTCAGACATACTATAATGTTTCAAGAACCATGACTTGACTGATGGTCCATCTAGATTAGGATGGGGGAGGAGAAGTAGGGATGGTCTGCCTATAGAGACACATTTTAGCATTCTATGTCCAAAATAAAATTCCACTCTATTGGTTTGGGGAGGGTGGGAATAAGATCAGTTTCTTGAAAGTTAATTACATCCAATTAAATCAAAGATGAGCTTCTGGAAAACTGGAGTTTGAAAATAGTTTATACCATAAACATTACTTTTGCTTGGCAAAATTATCTTTCAAAATAAAACATGAATTTAGTATCATAATACAGGAGATTTCAACGTGGAATGAGGGCATTTTTTATTTAGGTATTTGAGAGAATAGCAGAACCAGCTTTACATTTATATAGTACCTCATATTCTCAAATGCAAAAGTTACTTGATCATAACCATAAACCTGGCAATAAAACCTGCCCCACCTACACCTCATTGTATAGATTAGCAAACCCAGGAGATCAAGCGACTTGATCCAAGGTTCCATGGTGGGTGGTGAAGGCGAACTGAAGTCTAGGACCTGATTCCTTCTGTACCTCCCAGGGAAACAACAACGTAAAAAAATGTTTCCCTTTACCTCTCTCCTCCTACCCCTTTACTTTTTCTTTTTTAAATGGTTTTCATCTGTTCAAAGCCTGTTTAAAACGTGACTGCAAGCTGTCATCTGTCATGTCAGACTATTATCTACGTCTCGTTAGGAACTGGTATCTCTAACAACACCCTCCACGAAAACCTGCAATATCTACCATTAACGACTACAGTAAATTGGAAAGCGGGAAGGTGGGAAAAAACAAAACTAAAGGTAAACAGGTACCCATTTGTAATAATATCTATTTTTAGAAAAAGCTCAAACTATAAAATGCAAGCAGTAGGGGCCAGCCCAGTGGCACAGGGGTTAAATTTGTGCATTCCGCTTCAGTGGCTCAGGGTTCTTGGGTTCGGATCCTGGGCACGGACCTACTCACTGCTCATCAAGCCATGCTGATGCAGCGTCCCATATAGAAGAGCTACAACTCTACAACTATGATACACAACTATGTACCAGGGCTTTGGGGAGAAAAAGGGGGGAAAAAAAAAAAGAGGAAGATTGGCAAGAGATGTTAGTGCAGTGCCGATCTTCCTCAAAAAAAAAAAAATTAAAAATAAAATAAAATGCAAGCAGTAAAGAAGACTTCACACTGGTGATTATGATGTATTTAAAATGCACTCACACATTATTGGTAGAAATACGAGTTGGTTTAAGCATTCTAGAAGTCACTCTACCAATATGTACTTACCCTACTGATATGCCTAAAGAAGCACACCAAGATATTTGTATACCATTCATTACTACAAAGTTGTTCACAGCAAAAAGTTGGGAAAAAATTTAAAGTCCATCATTTAACTAGTTAGAAATGAAATACAGTAGTTCTTCCAAGCAATGGAACACTATTAATTAATCCATCAAAAAGAATGAGACAGATGTGTTTGTGTTGAGAAAAAAATGCCAAAAAATTTTATATATATATATATATATATATATATATATGGAGTAAAAACAAAAGTGTACAGGAAGGAATAAATTGGGCGGGAATATAAATGAAATTTTTTTTCCCAAAAGGATACACAAGAATCTATTAACAATAGTTACTTTTAGGGAATGGGTTGGGGAGAGAAGGCTTTTTTTATTTTACACCTTTCCGTACTGTTGGAATTTTCTAACCACTTGTAAGTATTACTCTTTGGTTTTTAAAAAGAAAGTCAGTGGAGATTATCTTGTGGAATCATGAGCCATTTTCATCTGCTTCCTTTACTTTTAGATTTTTAAGAAAACCTAGTACTTGCCTTTTTTTTTTTTAAACAAGTCTATAATTTTGGAAAGTAACCTACTTCTCTTTTAGGCACGCAAATAATTGTTTTATCTGAGATGGAAAACGTAACACCAGACAGACACACACACACAGAGTATGAGTAGACTAAATCAAATTTAAAAATGAACTGTATTAACTTTTATAGCAACTTCTATACCTCCAACCATGTATATAATTTAATTGATCAAGGTGCTAATAGTTGTAACAAATATTCAAGGTGGTAGATTTTTTTCAAATGTTTCTCTTTTGTATTTTCCGAGAACATGGTGAGAAATATCTCATACATCAGAAAACTATAAATTGGGAGAAAGTAAAAGATCAACTAACTAGAATATTACCATAGTAAATAAATAGATAAATAAGTAAAAACACAAAGCAATCATCAGACTCGTTTTTCAATGAGCATAACTGTTAGAACCAATTTTTCCCCTCAAACTAATTGCACCACCTTTTCTTTAAGTATTATCATCACCTAATTAGTAATGCAGACACTAAATCAGAGATTCTCACAGTGATGGGAGGTGGGGATAGAAGCCAGGAAGGAGTCATGGGCCCTACTGCAGGGTGGAGAAGGCAGGGGGACTGTGTCAAGGGCTCACCATCCCTCTTTTCCACACGAAATTAAATCACTTAACTTTGCTGTTACCCTGAGGAATTACAGGGCATATAAAAGGTGATGCAAGTCTCGGAGTTAAAATTAGCAATTGTACTACAGTAGTAATAATTTAGAGAATGAGTAGCTATTACCAAGCACTGGGCACTCAGAAGCCCAGGTTCCAGCCTTAATCGTGCCACACACTAACTGCACAACACAGGACAAACTGCATAAACTCTCTGCTCAGTTTCATTTTCTCCAAGATAAAAAGATTCAGATTTCTTCAAGTTTAGTTCAACCCTTTGAGGTCTAAGTTCTTTAACTATGAATTGCTCAAAAGACATAACACTACTAAGCTAAATGAAGGGGATATG